GAGAGAGAGAGAGAGAGAGAGAGAGAGAGATTTTTATATTTCGTTGTATTCTTGGTTCTAGAATAAAACCTGGCATATATGATACGCTCATTAAATGCCTTTATTTTCACTAGATAAGTTGAGTGAATATATTGCGTAAATATTTTCTGAAAGATATCGTTTCATTGTTTAGCTATAGAAGTTTTATCTATAGATGTTCTTTATTTTCTTCTGCACATTCTTCTCTAAGTTCCACTTGAGCTCCCCTAAAACTGACATATTTATTTTCTATTTTTCTCTGCAGTAATGTTCTCCCTAGGAATTAGTAACTTCTTAAATAATGCAATACAAAATCTTGTTCCTCAAGTGGGAAACATTCATCTTATTTTTTGTTAATTTAGAAGAGCTACTAAGGTTTTTGAAACGTCACTATAATTGTTAGTGTTGATTACATTAAGTACCTGCTTTAGAGAGATAAAAAAATGAGACTGTGTTTTAGAAGCTATGAAGTCATACAGGAATACAAGTTATGTTTGTTCTTCCTTGTGTTCAGACTCTGTGTGAAATGTTGAGTTATATTTGATTTTCAGGACTTTTGAGAAGTGATTATGTAAAATATATGGACACATAATAACACAGTTCATACCTTGCCTATTATGGAGCTTCCAGATGCTTAGTAACATAGAAGGTTATGAAGGGATGCATTTTATTTTTAAGGCTTCTGTAATCAAGATTTTATTATAGTTCATAATACTTTAAATTGTCTTATTTGTCAGAGTTATGGAAAATGATGATGTATCCTAAGCCTTGTGTCTCTGCTTGACCTCAAAACAAGAGACATTGGAATCCCAGCTTTACCACCCACTCCTTCATGACTCTGGATCATTAGTTGATCTGTCTCTGATCCTCAGTTTTCTATTTTGTGAAACAAAAATGATATCTATAAAATGGGTAATATGTTTTACCTATTAGGTAATTATCTATATTTATAATATTTATAAAATCGGTAAGCCTGTGGTGCGCCTCGTGCCCTCTTAAGTGTGGAAACCTAGAACTGCATAGTCTTCTCATCATTGTGATAGCCTGACCTGATGTAGGAAACCACCTAACTCCACAAACATTCCAAAGAAGCGTTGGATTCAAAAGCAAACAAAGGAGCAGACACATTGTTGTTTGGGAAAGAAAGAAGAAAAACCTACCTGTGCTATCTATGGAAAGCGGTGCAGGTGCTGGGAACTAAATTCCTAGGATATCTGGATTGGATGCATGTCAAATTAATTTCCTTTGTGGTGCTAGGAATTAAACAAGGGCCTCATACAGTTAGGCAGATACTTTACAATGGGCAACATACCCCGCCCCAGGGACCTGCCTCGGTGACTGCCATAGCAGTGTCTGCATGGTAGAATGTCAGACTGCAGGCCTCTCAGGTACGTGAGTTTAACTCACAGTGTGAAGAAAGGCACCTGCAAGAGTTCGTCTGCTAACAAAAGCATCTCAGAACATTGCCTGCCTGGTGATGCAGCATAGAGTAAGTCCAACCTCTAAGGGTTATGCATGAATAAAGTCCCAGAGAAGTCAAAGTCACAACACTAAGCATGTTTTATGTATCATGTGGGGTTGAAAATTGAAATCTGCCTCCAGTATAGAAACCCAGGTTGAAGATTCAGCTTCTGAAACACCTGTAGAACTGGCAAGACCTAGAGGCACTTGAAAAAATGGAAAACAATTCAATTTTATTGATGCTCCTTTGTTCTCCTCAGGGTACTTGCCACTCTGGCTAGAGGAGAACTGAGCTCAAGCATAGAAAGGGCAGAAGAAAAATAAGCAGGACAAATATGTGTCAGTGGAAGACCAGGATAAACACGAGGAATGATTTGAGAAAAATCTTTTTTGGGGGGCAGAATCGGGGATTGAACTCAGGCCCTTGTGCTTGCCAGGCAAGCACTTATTCTACTGAGCTATCTCCTTAGCCCCCAAGAAAGATCTTAAATATGCTAAAATGTTCAAACACTTAAGAGTAAAAGTGTTGACCTGTTTTGTATTGCTGTCAGGAATGACCTCATGCCACAATACTACCTCCCACCTCCTACCCCTGAACTGAGGATTGAACCCAGAGCACCATAATTGATAGGCAAGTGTTCTGTCACTGAGGTTTCCTAGGTTGGACTCCAACTTGGCGGACTCTTGCTTCAGCCTCCAGAATAGCTGGAATTCCTTTCTCTCAAAATTCCTGAGCTGATTTTGCAGAAAGTTTTATCTAGCTCATGGTTTTGAAGGCTAAAAGTCCAGGAATGGGCAACCCCAGGTTTGGTCTCTGGTTAGGGTCTGATCTCAGATGCTGTCACAATTGAGATAGCATGTGTAGGAGGAAGAGGACCCTTTGGGGACCAGGCGTCTAACAATTCACTCTTACGAGAGCTGTCACTGGGTCCCATGAGAAGTGGTGTAGCTCCTGCCAGGGTGGCACCCCAGCGGACCTACGTACCTCCTATGAAGGGTCCCCCTGGCTCCCACATGGCTGCACTGAGGACCAAGCTCGCGGCACATGAATCCTGGGGTGTCAAACCACTCCATACTACAGCAGAAGGCAGAGCAAGAACAGGATGCTGTGAAAGAAGAGAGAATGTCTAGAGCTACAAATTCAGTTATTGAAATAAAAGCTTGAAGGAAGGGCAAAGCGTCAGCTTCCGAGATATGCAGAGCACTGAAGCGAGCTCTGTGGTATAGTCTCAGGTAGGATCCGCATCCTGAGTTTCGGTTCCCTGCCTTTCCTTGCTGCCCCCATCCATTCTTCCTGCTGTTGCACGCAAGGTCTGCGCGAACTTCACTGCCACTTAATGTGACTCCGCCTGCAGTGTGAGAGGAGTAGATGACCGCTGGGTGTTTCAGGCAACAAAGAAGGGCTCTGTAGAGTACTGAGCTTCCTTGTCACTGCAGGAAGTGATTTCCCTGTCTGTGACCCAAGAGAAGGTACCTGAAGGGGTAGTTTCTGAGGTACACTCTGAGGATTGAGAAAGACTTCCAGGAATTTAATAATTATAGTATGTGGCTTGTGACTGACGTGTTTCTCAAATTTGCAAATTCCATTCAAAGCATATAATCCAACTTAAAGATGTGTATAGATTGTTACTACTTTTTGTATAAATTGCATTCCATGAGATAAATCAGTACTGAGAGGTATTTTCTCATGTTTGCAGTTTTTCATTTCAAAATTTTTATTGATGCTTCCCATAGTTTCTGAGTCTGAGATTGGCCAAGAAGCAGATGACATGGCAATGGAGAAAGAAAAATACGTGGATGAGCTGAGGAAAGCCCTGGTGTCGGGAGCGGGACCCGGGGATGCATACAAGTTTGACTTTTCCGAAAGGGATTGTTGTTTCTCCTGCGAGAAAAACCTGAAAGATGTTTCAGTAAGTCCGACTCTCCATAACTTTGCAAGTGGTAAAATGACCTGTCAGACAGGAGCTGTGTTAACAGTTAGGAACTTAGCACTTGAGACACCGAACGCCTCACAAACCGAAGTTGGGGAGCTGCTTGCTTTCTTAGTTGAAGTCATTATTAAGAACTTCATACTAATGAGGTATGAAAAGTAATTTTTGGAAAATATATGTTTAAAATGTTTTAAAAATTTGAAGTATTATATGAATGAATAATTTTGAAAAAGTTAGCTCGAAAGTTTTAGGCCATTCTGAGAAGGTTTTATTAAAAATAACCTTGGGGAAATACAGATTTTTTTTTTT